CAGCCGCCGCCCCAGGCCCCCCCCATGGAGCCCGAGGCCCTGGATTCCCGCAAACGGCCCCTCGAAACGCCCCCCGAGGTGGTCTGCACCAAGCGCAGCAACACGGGAGGTGAGAAGGGGCTGTAACTTGGGGGGTGAGGGGGACTGAGGCCTCGCCTCCTCCATCCCCCCCCCCACGCCAAGCGGCAGGTGCAAGGGTCTGAGGAAGGGCTGGGCGCCCCTCGCCGAGGCTGGGGGCCGAGGAGGGGGTTGAGGAGGGGGTCGGACCTCCTCCCCCTCTCGCCGCGACCAGGGGCTGCGAGCTTTGTCTTCGAGAAGGCGGCTTGGGGGAGGGAAGGGGTGGTGAGTGTCCTTGGGGGGGCACAGAGGATGGGGGCGTGGGTCCCTTGGGGCGGGTGTCTCTGTGTCCTTGAGGGGTGTGTGATGTGACCCTTCCGGGGCAGGGGTGTCCTCAGGCTTTCGTCTGCAGACGATCCCAAATTTGTGCCCTGGGGGAGGAGGAGAGGGAAGGGGGAGAGGAAGCCTGTGGACCCGGAGCTTCCCGGCCTCCCTCCCCGGGGATGTCCTGAGCCAGTCTTGTCCTGGAGGGAGGCATGTGTGGGCCTTGGGCGGGATTGTGCTTGGGGATGGGCCGGGGGGGGGGGTGTGTTGGGTGACACAGAGAGGAGAGTGGGTGTGTAAAGCTAAGTGGGAGAAAGTGTGCCTGGGACAGGTGTGTGTGTGTGTGTTCGTATGTGTGTGCACGCGTGTGAGTCCTAGATTGTGATATTGGGGATCATAGATGGGAAAGAGGGTGTGTGTGTGTGTGTGTGTGTGTGTGTAAAAGAATAAGAGGGGCTGGGCTCCATGTTTCAGACCCTAAAGGGAATATGTGTGACAAGGGAAGGTGTGTGCATGTCACCCAAGTGGGGGCTGTGGCACAGTGTGGTGACACATGAGCGAGAGGGGGTGTGTGACATGTCAGGGGGTGTGTGGGGGACGCCGAATGGGCCGGGTCTGTGTGTGAGCCACAAGAGGCTGTGTGGGACAGGGGCAGGCAGGTCAGTGTGTGTGACACCCAGGCATGTCTGGGCCAGGGAGGGACCAGGAGGAGCAGGAGAGGGGATGTGACAAGAAAATGGTGTGGGTGTGACTCCAGAGAGGCTGTGGCTGGGTGTGACACATGGAGGTGTGCAAGATGACATCAGAGGGGGTGTGTGCACCCAGGAAAGGTGGGTGTATGACGGGGGAGATGCTGAGGCTCTGGGGGTGAAACGCATGAGCGTGTGTAACAAGGCAAGGGAGGGGCAGGCGCCAATGTGACAGGGCTGTAGTGTATGTGTAGAGCAGGGGACATATGCCAATGACAGCCAAGGGGTGTAAAAAGGGAAGACGTGTGTGTGTCCCCCGTGAGTGTCTAAACAAGGGGAGGAGTATGTGTGTGAAATGGCTGTGTGACACCAAAGAATATGTGGGGGTGATTCTGTGTTTGTGAGCCCCAAGAGTGTGTATATATGTAACACGAGAAGTTTGTGTGTGAAACGACTGAGCGTGAGCAGAGAAGACGTGGAGGTGATTGTGTGTGTATGTGTAATGGCTGAACATCTAACACCACAGAAGGTATGTGGATGAAGCTGTGCGTGTGTGAGAGACAGAGGGGTCATCACCGTGTGTGTGACCTGAGGAAGTGTGTGTACCAGAGAATAGACAAGCTCGGACCTTGAGGCGTGTGCCATAGCGGTGGGGGACGTAGGGAAGAGGCAGTGACCCGCCTATCAGGGCTTGGCGGAATCAGGGCTTCTTCACAGGAGGGTGACCCCAGAGCAGATGAGAACCCTTCCCCACGGTCACCTTCGCTAAAATCTCTGCTTCCTCTGGCCTTTTCCTCCTCCGGATGGGAGAGAGATGGGTCTGACTCAGGAAGAGCGGGCCCCTCCCACTCTACTGGGTGCTGGAATGGAGGGGTTAGGGGCCTCCCGCCTCCTCCCCTTGGCTGAATACAGCCAAGTCTCTTCCTCCCATCCCAACCCCCATCCAGGTTGGGGACCCCCTGGTTCCTCCTGCCTGTGAGGGTGTCCAGCAGAAATTGGAGGAAAGGGAAGTTGGGGGAGGGGTGGGAGGGAGTTTCCTGTCCTTCTTCCTGCTCCCCCACCCCCATCCAGCACACACACACGAATATGTCCCAGCCCCAGCCGACTTCCTTCTCCACTTCCTGCCCCACTGCCATTCTCAGGCCTGGGAAGGGTTGGGGACCCAGGAGGACCCTGAGCCCAGCCAGGCTGCCCATCCTTGTCGTAAAGCAAAAACCAAACCAGTTGCCCTTAAGTCAGTTCTGACTCATGGCAACTCCAATTGTGTCAGAGTAAAACTGTGCTCCATTGGGTTTTCAGTGAGTGATTTTTTGGAAGTAGATCACCAGGCCTTTTTTCCGAGGTGCCTCGGGATGGACTCAAACCACCTACCTTTTGATTAGCAGCTAAGTGTGTTTGCACCACCTAGGGACTCCATCCTTCTCTTCCAAAAACCAAACCAAACCCACTGCCGTTGAGTCAATTCTGACTCATAGCAACCCTATAGGATAGAGTAGAACTGTTCCACAGAGTTTCCAACAAGCGCCTGGTGGATTCGAACTGCCGACGTTTTGGTTAGCAGCCATAGGGCTTAACCACTACGCCACCAGCGTTTCCATCCTTCTCTTAGAGGGATAGAAATGCTCACAATCTGATTGCTCAGAGCTGTACAGTGTAACAATAGTGATACAGCTGCTGCGGCTGCTGCTAGCAATGATGATGGTAATATCCTCCTCGGAGTCAGGCTATGAGATATGGGTTAATTTCTCACTGCAAGCCTGAAGGGAGGTGGTTGGAGCTGCATTTTACAGATGCGGAAAACTGAGGCTCAGTCAGATGAAGCTGCTTGCCCAAGGTTGCACAACTCATAAATGGAGCTAGGATTTCTCCAGCCCTGCCCACCTTGTTCCAGAGCTCATGTACTTAACCACTGCGCTGTCCTGACTCCCTCAGCAGTGGGAAAACTAGGACAAGCCCTTAGGGACCATCTCCTCCAGCCTCCTCCTCCCACCTCCTCCTATTTCCCCCTGGGGAAACTGAGGCCCAGAGATTCGAGGGGCAGGCTTCCATTTACAGAAACACTTAGTGGCAGGGCTGGGCAAGAGTCCAGGACATTGACCTCAAAATTGGGGGCTCCTCCCAACGATATACCTTGATGGCTGTGAGACCCTGGATCAACCCCACCCCTTTCCTGAGCCTCAGTTTCTCCATCTGCCAAATGGGGAAATAATAATAACCACAACTATAATAGTGCTAATAACCAAAAAAACTGAACCCATTGCAGTTGAGTCGATTGCAACTCATAGCGACCCTATAGGACAGAGTAGAACTGCCCCATAGGGTTTCCAAGGCTGTAATCTTTACGGAAGCGGACTGCCACATCTTTCTTCCGAAGAGTAGCTAGTGGGTTCATACCGCTGTCCTTTTGATTGGCAGCCAAGTGCTTAACCACCGTGCCACCAGGGCTCTGTAATAGTAATAATAGCTACCAATATTATTAATGCATTACATGCAACATTTCATTTAATTCTCCCAACACTCTATGGTGTAATAACAATAATAATAAATTATAATAATAGCTAACATTTATGGTGCTACATACATTGTTACAGGGAGTATTGTGGAAAGTGCTTGACATGGCTCAATCATTTAATCCTTACAACAGCTCTATTATGTTTGCCCATTACAGATGAAAAACTGAGGCGCAGAGAGGTTAAGTAACTTGCCCAAGGTCAGCCAGCTAATAAGAGGCGAGGCAGAGCTAGGATTTGAACTAAGGAGGCTGGCTCCATTGTGTGAGTAGACAGTAGAGTTTTAAAAATTAAACAAACAAATCCATTGCCATCGAGTCAGTTCCTACTCATAGCACGAGTAGAACTGCCCTGTAGGGTTTCCAAGGAGCGGCTGGTGGATTCAAACTGCTAACCTTTTGGTTAGGAGGCAAACGCTTAACCACTGGACCACCAGGGCTCCGACGGTAGAGTAGACCTCATTGTTAGATGAGGAAACTGAGACTCAGAGGGGTGAAGGACATAGCAAGTAGTGGCTGATCGAGCAGGTGGAGCTCTTGCCCAGGGCACCAACCAGCCTCTCTTGCTTGTTCCTGGGGGCTGATGGGAGACCCGGAGGCGAGGGGGGCTATTTAAACTGATTTCTGGGCACCGAGACTGGCTGGCAGGCACTACTTGGAGAAGACAAGGCACTAAAGGCAGGAGGACGTGGGTGAAGAGGTTGAATAGAATTCCCAGTCAGGAGCTCATCAGAGAAGTAAATGGCCCTAATCTGGTGGAACAATAATTCAAAGAGTGTCCTCTCGAGTACAGATCATAACTCCTAAGCTGCAGCTACAGTGGCCTCCACACTCTTGACTGTTTTCTCACCTCTATTACCCCCAAAACTATAGAAACAACACGCTCTGCATACATACACACCCCACACCCCAACCAGAGCTTACACCAACCAGGTCTTGCCCCCAACATCCCTCACACTTTAACACAAAGACAGTTTTGCCAGATTAAGAACCCTAGAGTGAAACCTTCTCAGTGATGCTGCGGTGTGCTTCGTGTGGGACCCTCGTGCAAGTTATTTCACTGCTCTGAGCCTCAGTTTCCTCATCTGGAAAACAGGGACTATAAGATTTATCTCTCTGGGTTGCTGTGTGGGTGAAATGAAATCATGTATGTAAAGCACATAGCATAAGACCTGGCAGGTAGTCAGTGCTCAGTAAACAATCACTATCTGAATCGACTCGACAGCAGTGGGTTTGGGTACCATTTCTATGGGGACATTGGTGGTTCAGTGGTAGAATTCTTGCCTTCCATGCGAGAGACCCAGATTCAATTCCCAGCCAATGCCCCTCATGCGCAGCCACCACCCGTCTGTCCATGGAGGTTTGTGTGATGCTGTGATACTGACCAGATCTCAGCAAAGCTTCCAGACTAAAACCGACTAGGAAGACAGGCCTGGTGATCTACTTCCAAAAATCAGTCAATGCAAACCCTATAGATCACAATGGTCTGATCCATGGGGATGGCGCAGGGCCAGGCAGCGGTTCCTTCCA